AATTATTATCACTCTTCACTGCGTAATTGCATAGAGATGTGCTTTGGGGTCTTGAAAGTAAGGTTTAAAATTCTTAGGCATATGACCAATTATTGGATGCCAAGACAAAATGTTATACCAATATCTTGTTGTGTGATCCACAATTTAATTAAGATGCACGCGCGAGATGATCCTCTATTTAGACAATATGAGGTCGATTTGCCCGTAGAAGATATTGAGGGAGAACAAGAAGGGCAACAGGAACAACAACATGGTATGGATGCACAAAAAGCAGAAACATCTGAAATGGGTGGTCGGCAACAACGTAATTACATGGTTAATTTTAGGGATCATCTAGCTAATCAAATGTGGGATTCGTATAGGCGACAATAATTTAAGCTAATATTGTAATTTCCATATTTTATTAATTATTAGTGTTTTTATTTGTGATTCAATTATTATTTATTTAATATATTAAATACATGTTTTCAAAAATGAAACCATCAAACGCAGTTTCAGTTTTTTTTTTTAAATTGAAATCAATTTCTAAATAAAACTACCAAACGCATTTTTAAAAATAATTTAAAAATGAAAAGGAAAACGTTTTCATTTTCATTTTCGTACAGAAAACAAAAACGTTTTGGAATTAATTTTAAACGCACCTTATATGGTTAGTTCCAAATTGTTTGGGCGTATTGCTTCACATGTATCAACCACTTGACAAGTACAACAAAAAGATTTGTCGTTTTTTCTTAATTAAACCCTAATACAACATTACGTGCATCGCCTATATTCAATAGAGTGGCGGAGACTAAATCGAAAAGAGGAAGGATATAAGTTTGAAAAAAAAAAAACGAATATATTAAATTAACTTAGATGTGAGACTCCTTTACAAGTAAGACCAACCTTTCAAAAAAGAAAAAGAGAGAATGGAAAAAAGAATAAAGAAAGAGGAAAAGAAAAGGACCAAGAAAAATCAAATCAAGAGGCATTCCTATGTATCAGTCACATGATTTGTTTGGCTACATAAAAATTTCTTGGCCTAAAACGTAGTGACTTAACTAAATATAACATAACGTATCCGCAAATCAAAATTTGTTTTTAATTTTAAACTTGACCTTTTTTAAAAATCTTTAATTATTATTATTATTTTTACAATGTTGTGTTTCCGAGTTTAAACTCTTTAATTGGCTATTTTCTATAAAAAAAAAAAAAAACTCTTTAATTGGTTAATTTTTGAGTAATATGAAATAACCTTTTTCTTAAAGTTAATTTTCGTTATTGATCAAGTGCATATCAAAAGTTGAAAAACAGAGCTTTGTTACCAATATGAAATAGAATCGCGTAAAACAAAAGACAAAATTAAGAGGATGAACGAATTGAATTATGAACCATATCTTTGAGACTCCCTTACAATAACGACCAACCTCAAAAAAAAAAAAAATCTCAACCAAGAAAATCAAATCAAAGAATTGTATACATCCTATTCTTAAGATTCCTCCGATCAAGAATTCTTGTCAGCCACATGATTCGAAGACTACCTAAAACCACTCTCCGTCAAAGATCCGAATCGGACCAAAAAGAAAGATGAAATTCGTCAATACGAGACGAACGTCTCGAAGCAGTTGAGTCCGTCGAACTCCAGCGCCGATCTGATCTTCGTCTTCGTCTTCTCAGAAAATTCTCTGTTTCCGTCTGATTTCTTCCCGGTCGTCTTCTCCGGCGCTCCGTCGTTTCGTTGCGAAGGCTTGGCGTCGCCGGCGAAAACGGAGTGGGCCCTGGCAGACGTAGTCTTCCCCAAGAGGACTTCAGCGCAGAAGGCGTCGAAGACACTGAACATCGAATTCATCTTTTTTGAGTTTCTTGAACCAGAATTCTAGAGAGAGAGAGAGAGAGAGAGAGAGAGAGAGAGAGAGAGAGAGAGAGAGAGAGAGGAGAGAGATTATTGAGTTTGTGAAGATTGATGTGTGAGGAGATTGTGGAAGAAGGTTAATTTGGTTTGATTTATATAGAGAGATGGAGGGAGAGGGAAACGCCGCTTGTGGAGTCCGCGAAGGAGTATATGTTTAACTACAACCGACCTGCTTAGACTCGGTCAACTTTGAGCCACTTGGAGATCAAGTACTTTGACGTTCAATCTTTGGCTTGTTTTGACTTGAAAGGAAACTACTAAAAGTCCACAAACAATTTCTATTACAAATAGTGCAAGATATTCTGGATGGTCTTTCTTTCTTTCTTTCTTTTATTTTTTTTTATTTTGGGTCTCTCTTTTTTTATTAGAGAAATAATATTGTATGATAAAAAAAATCCCTAATCAACCAATGGATTAAAAAAAAAAAACAGAGAGATCGAAAATCAATGTTTTTTTTGGTATGAGATATATTTTTTTTCAGATTGAATTATATATATCTCACACAAAAAAAATATATATATATTGTTACCCATTTAAATCGCGAGATACAATTCCTTGCAGAGGTGTAAATTAAGATGTTTATCACTTTTAAAGTTTAGTTACCACGCATACTATTTTGTTTTGAAAATTAAGCTTAAATTTTCTTTAAAAAATAATATATTTGATTTAGAACACTCTAAAACTGATATTCTCCTAATTCATCTTTATAAAACATAGAGATTTTACAACATGGTCTTAAAAATATGAATTATTAGTAGGTCTATGTTTTAAGCCGTCAGATTTGTGTCATATATTCTACATATTCTATTATTTGATGTAATTTTTTGATTAGATCTAAAGACCAAAATGTGTAAAGGGGCCAATACAACAGACCCTATTCTTTTATTTTGGAAAAATGAATAATCAATAATCACATGTATGTTACTATATTTTGTAGATACTATTAGTGTTCGTTTAAAGGTTATCTTTCAAAATTTTATAGAAAAAAATTCATTTTAGTAGCTATACTTTGACACCTTTTCAATTAGGTATCTTCTTGAGATACCCTATATATGTATACAGTATATAGACACATCATTAGATACGCTAGCCCCTTTTTTGAGAGAATATAATCAAATAAATAAAGCAATAAGTTCATGAACAGCATGAAATGTAAAAAGTAACTAAAATAAGAAACCAAAGCCAAGGCCAAAAATATTTCATATATAAATCTGATCACAAACAAAAAGAAATTATGTTTTAATAAAAGGGCATTCTGATACGCTAACATACTAATAGATTAAGTTTTTTATATATTGAATCTACATAAAATTAAGTAAACATTAAAAAATACGTAAATTTAATAGTTAAAAAAAACTTAACATATCAGTACGCCAAACGTACCAGAAAATCTCTCTTAATAACATGAAAAAAAATGGTCTTCTTATTTTATGTCTCATAATAAATTTTTATTAAAAATACTAATTTCATATATTTTTTAATAAATTGATTTCATATTTTCTAATAGAAAAATTTTTTAGTGTGTTTGATGTATCGATAGACTAAATTTTTTTAATCATACTATTTAAATACTTTTTTATTTTTATATAATTTTATATAAATTTAACATATTAAAAATTTGACTTATTAATATCTTGACGCACTGAAAAAATCCATTTTTAATATCTCTTTAATCATAATATTTGGGTTAGGGGCCATGTACCGAGGACTAGGGAATAGGAGATTGAGACTCGGGTGGAAAAGATCGGCCTCCTGAAATTTCTGCGCAAACAGTGTGGGACCCTTCATAGTCTGGGCCGTAAAATTGCCGGTGCAAGTTGGCATTTTGAATGTTCCGCATTCACTCTAGTGTTGCTATTTCCGAAATGTGCAAAAAAAAAAAAAAAAGGGCTAATTGAACTAGCTAGGAGTAGGAACTTGTGCCAACTTAAAAAATAAAATAAAAACAAAAACAAAAAAAAAACAGACGTTTCTCATGAATTCACAAAAGGATTAATTGAATTTGTATGTAAGTCTTTGTCCAATGTAATGACGCTTCTCTTCCAATCACCTTAAGAAAGAAGCACCGTCAAAAATATATCTTAAACCTTAAGCCTTTTGCTAAAGTTCGTTTCTTTAACTTTTTCTTCTCTTTCCTCCTCTTATTTTATTTGTAAAATACAATGAATCCTCAACTTGTATTAAAAATTCACCTTTGTTTGTCTGGAATATTCGCGGATAAAGATGGACAGCCCTCCTTTGTTTGTCTAGAATATTCGGATAAGGGAATGACGTAAGAGTTTCAATGAGACATGTAATATTATGTTGTTGTTAATGGCCAATTTAACGGTGGAGATTCATTTTCTGTTTTGCGGCGATGAGCGGTAACGGCTTCCATGGCTACTGGACATCCTTAACTTGTGCCGTTTTTTTTTCAGGGTCCATTCTCCAAAGACACAGATAGATACCATTTTAATAATATATTTGAACCACATTCACATAGCGAGCCGCATTTTCCTTTTTCGGCTGTTTGATGATCTTGATGGAAAACTGTTGGAGTGGTTCCGTTCATTTCGCCGATTTAAGTTTAAAATTTGAGTTTTGTTATAGTAAAAAGCTCTTAGAAACAGTCACATTTAATTTTTTTTGCTACAGTAAAAAGCTCTCACACAAAATCACATCTCAACTCGAATTATAAACTCAAATTAGCGAAGTGAACGGGCCCATCTCGACTCAAAATCAAATTATTTTTTTTCTCGTTAAAATTCTGTTTTGTCTCTCTAGATTTTCTCACTGAGTGAAAGAATTGTCCCCTTATTCTATGGTATTTATAGATTTTTTTTTTTTAAATTCATTATGCTCTTCTTTTCCCCTCCAGATCAACCTTACTCGTGACATGAGTTTCTCCGCTCTGCATTTTCGCTCTTGCCACGCCAACTTTATTATTAATTAATTAGAAATTAAAATATGCTTATCTTATCATTAATTAATTGGAAATTAATATTTTTAAACATGTTTTAAAAAAATGCTTTAAATATATTAAAAATTGAGAGTTTTTTTTTTTTTTTTTAATTTTATGGTTTCTTAAAATATTTATAATACGCTCTTCTAAAAAAATCTAAATAAATTAAGTAAAAGATATGAATGATTTCACGTCCCAAAAAACTGCCTCAATGTAAAGAAATTATTTTTTAAAAAGTCAAAGAAATTATTAAAGATACAAATACTAAACGTATATTTCAGTGTAATATAAGATACCAAAATAAAATTTTTCTCTATTTATTGTTTAAGGTAATTTTCCCCTGTCTAGGAGAACAAATAAGTACACAAAGTTTAGAGAACCTTTAGCCGCAAAAAAAAAAAAAAAAAAAAAAAAAAAACCCGGATTAGTTGAATCTTCAATGCAACTATTAATAGCTATATCGTATTTGACATAAAAAATGTGCAAATATTAAAAAGTAATTTTATATTTATACTTCGATGTATAATACTATTTTAAATATTATATTTATTTTTTATCATAATTATTACCATGAAAATATACGTTTAATTTTAAAATCATACGAGAACATCATAATCGTTAAATAAAACGGAATACATCAACCTGAACCTTAAAGTCTGTAGACTTCTCAAAGAAAATTTTTAAAAGGAGAACCTTTTGTTCCATTTGAGAAAAAAACCAGATATACCATTAAAAATGCTAAAAAATATATATTATTAATCTCTACTATACTAAAAAAATAAATAATTGTCATTTAATTAATAAAAAATAAAATACTATAATTGTACCTCAATTATTTAAACTGACATAAATAATAGACCTGCACAAAACCATGAAAAACTAAGTACTTTTCTTCGTTAAATTTGCAGGCTAAAGGCTTAGATAATCACTTGTGGGGTAGAGATGAGAGACAAGCAATATAAGGATGTTAGAATATTTTTATGTGGACTTTCATAATAATAATAATAATAATTCACTCTAATATAAATTTAATCATAATTACAACTTTGTTAATGTAAATTAGTTTATGCATGTGTGTCAAATACTAGTCCATAAACAGTTAGTTTATTGATAAGTTTAAGATCTATGGACTTCTTCTCTCTTTGGTACTTTAGTCAGCCCATTTGGCCAAAGAGCCTCTCCACAATTTATAAAACCCAATAGTCTCACTTAACTTAATCCCATGTGGTTTAAAGGGTTATGCACATCTATTTATATGTGAGTGGGTGCTAAAGGGTGTGTGATGGGTCATGGGTGTGTGTAGAGAGGCTAAGAGAGAGGAAAGTTTCATTACTCTCAAACCTGTTTCACTGGCGAGTTTTGACGGCGACACCAACGCTTCTGACGGGTAACCTACGAACTTTTCTTTTGGACATGTCTTAGACATTAAATTGGATTGGTTATTTTCACCAAAGGAATATTGCAGTAAATGGAAAATTTTTTAAACTAAATTAAATGAATAACATTTTTTAAAACTATTTAAAGTAAGTAGCAGTTTCATGCGTAATTAACTAATTATGCATATCGAGTGCAAAATATAATTTTAAGCTAAGTCTAAACATGCAATATGAGATTGGTAAACCAAAGTGAGGTGTTTTATTATGATTTTTTTATTATATGTCTTTTTTGTACGAATACTCTCTCAATTTTACGTATTTGGTAAATTGGTGTTTCAACTTTTAATCTTTGTAATTTAATTTCTAAACTTTGAAATTTATTGCGATGTGGATCAAATTGAAAACGAAGTTAAGATTTTAGACGGTTTATTCTATATGAAACTTTAGTAAGGTTAATTGTAGTCTTTTTATAGCGAATCAATCTCCTTATGTACACTACGAGTGAAAATTGAAATTGGGGACCTTAACTTTTTCTCCCACAACAGTTAACCCTTTTAATAAATTTTTCGCTTACAATGTGCATACAAGGACTAACTTAGAGCCCGTTTAGTTCATGGATTAGAACCATTTTCGATTTACGTGTGCTTTTTGTGAGAGAAAATACGGTAACGAACTATGAACCATGATTCGAATCAGAGAATGAATCCTCCAACCAAACGGGCTCTTAATGTAAACATACTAGAATTAGCCTCATGTTCATGTGGTAGAAACTAAGAGCCCGTTTGGTTCATGAATTAGAACCATGAGATTAAAATAATTTTCGATTTACCTGTATTTTTTATGAGAGAAAATATTGTAGCGAACTATGAACCATGATTTGAATCAGAGAACGAATCCTGCAATCAAACGGACTCTAAAATTTTAAATTCGTCTTTAATTTAAGCAATATAACAATAAATTTCAAAATTTAAAGAGGTAAATTGTTAAGATTAAAAGTTGAAGTTGGGGTGACATCAGTATAAAAAAGCCTTATTAGATTGTACTACGGGCCTTCCAGCTTTTCGGCTAGGTGCCTGACCCGACGCACATAACTGGATTGCTTTGGCCCTAAATTTCTGGGCCGCAAGTCGGCTCATAAAGGTTTTACATGAGCCAACCCAGCCCAATAACGTGCCGGGCCAGATTGGGCCGTACCCGTTTACATGCGGGCTGGGCCTGGTGGCCCTTATATGCTGGTCAAAACAGGTCTTTGGTATGACCTACCACATAATTCCTCTGAAAAGGAGAGTCTACCATAAAATAAACAAAATCCGGCGCAGAAAGTGGACGATGTTAAAGCCTGGATTGCGTGGCCGCGCGTGAGCCAGATGGACTGACTCGAACGGCATCGAGCGTCAGCAAACAAACTCTCTCTCTCTCTCTCTCTCATAGAGTCATACCCGAATTTCCAAAACTCTGGGCCCCACTTCAGCTCTCTCTCTTGCGCTCCAAACAAAGCATCTTCCCCCATTATTCCATCTGGAAATCCCACCCTATTCTCGCGTCCACCTACCTCTCCCGTGTACCCTTCACCTACCCTTCCACCGCAGCCGTTGATATCCAAACCATTACCATCCAAGCGCTCAACTTCACCATCATCCCAATTCACAATCAACGATTCCCTGCGTTCACGAAGCCAATCCGCAATCCCGCCACTCACTCCCCTGCACTTCTTGACCTTAATCTTGGCCAAATTCGGGCAACCCCAAGCGAGAGATTCGATCCCGACATCCGAAATCGGGCATCCCTTGATACAGAGCTTCTTGAGCGCCACGCATTTTGCAGCAATGAAATCGGGCATCCCTTGATACATAGCTTCTTGAGCGCCACGCATTTTGCAGCAATGCAGGCGATTTCTGCGTCGCCTATGGAGCCACTGCCGCAGAGCGCCAACCTTTCCAGCTTATGGCAATTGGAGGCGACTGCTGCCAAACCTAATGAGGTCGGATTGACACCGATCAAAACAAGCTCTTGCAGGTTAAGGCATTGTTTGGCCACAACAATCAAACCCTCGTCACCAATTCTATTAGTCCTCCACGCATCGATGTGAAGCTTCCTCAATTTCTTGCAGTGTTCCGCGACGCAAATAAGACCGGAATTTGTACACTCCGGGGTCTTCACGATGCGCAAAACCTCCAAATTCGAGAATTTTGAAATCCCCGAAAGCCCCAAATCGCTAACCTGTAGCCTCTCAAGGTGGATTTCAATAAAACCAGTGTTTCCGCTTCCAATCTTTTCCAAAACTCTATCCCAATCTCCCAAACAACGAATCACCTTCAAGCTTGTGAGCTTTTTTGCTCCGAATAAAAGCGGCTCCGGTACGGCCCTGGTACGGACCCGGGGCCGCCCCGGTATGGCCTTTGGGCGGCCCCGGGGCGGCCCCGGTAGGGCACCGGGGAGGCGCCGGTACGG